GAAATTGTGGCTGTATTTTTTCCATAGTAATACACCCATTTGAGATACACATATTAGTAAACGCCAGTTTCTTGTCAGGCTATATATATCACCTTTTAATTGAATGCATACTTGAAGACAAAGTTGCCATTAATACATTTTGCAAATGACAGGTTCACTTTAAGTATTTTAATATGTGAGTTAACATAGTACAGTGTATTGTATTTTTAACTCACAAATTAATCACTGTGTAGTGCCTAAAAAAAAAAAAAATTCTATTTCAGTGTTTATATTTTTGTAGCTATTCTGTGTGGCGGGTTTACACTAGGGCAGAACAATCTGTTTTTAAGCAATGTTTATGGCTCAATTTATGCTGATCATTTCTGTGTTCTGTGCTGGAGTGTTCATTCTTGTCTCTAAACTGGCAGGCTCTGCAATGTGACGCAGATAGAAAGCTATGTTTGGAAAGTGTAGGTGGATACAGGGAGACTTGACAGAGAGTAAAACAATTTTTTTTAATTTTAATGAGTAACGTAGGCGAAAAACATAGTTATACACACTAAATAATATTAACACGTCACAATATATTTATATATACAAATAACCAATATGTACAAACATACAGCTTTGTACTCTTTCTTGCAAAATGGATTTAGAAAATAAAACTGTTTATTTGTTCCTTTTAGCATCTATAAATATTTGAGATGGGCAAGAGAATCAGAAATTTTACAAAAGAAAATGGAAAATGTAATTTATATGTACTATATTTCATAGTATGACAGTTTAAACTATTTACAGAATAAATAAAATTAAAGTAATGCATCATGCCGGCTACAGTGGTTATAGTGGTAAGAGTGTCATGTTATTGTTCTTCAGTAAGACATCAAACTGTGTAGTACGATTAGACAATATTACTGGGTCGTGCCTGTTGCTCACATCTGCAGCCTCTGCATTTGGTCTTCTTCTGCAAGAAAATCCAGTTGGCAGATAAACAAGCTTAGCCAATGCCCACAGCCCCGAGTTGGCTGAATTGGCCTTGCTGTCTTCTGCAGATCTATCCTTATTTTTCTGTTGTCAAGACATACTAAAATGGTTTGACTACCAGAACACTCCTGGTGCAATCACTACAGCTGGCTATTGTAGTGGAAGATAAATATGGCACAAACACACGGTGTTTACCTGCACACATGGGCATCTTGTGATGGATGTGCACGCCTCCCATCTGAAACCAAATAGTGGTTTTGTGATGTGTGTATGAGTGGGCTTGCATATGCACTTTACATGAAATATCTCACCATTATTTCACCACAAGCTTATCATTCCCTTGTGTCATTGTTTCTTCTTCTCTGAGATGGAGCTCACTCTTAATTTCTAAGGATGATATATTTTTAAATTTGAGAAAACAGGGTGTACACTGAAAATAGACACATTTTCAGTAGTGTTCTTCAGTTGTATCCAATTCAAACTTAAATTGGTTTTAGCTCAACTGTACCATTACAGAGAAAACAGGGAGCTCAATGACCCAGTCCGGAGTCTCTCTGTTCTGGTTAAATATAGGATACTTGTGTGGGAAGGTGAGAGTAGCTCCTTGCAGTGCTCTTAGGTGGTATATGCAAACAAAACAAAGATGGGAGAATGGAGGAGTACATGGTGTAGTATTTTTCACAATATAAAAAATGAAGAAAGAAATGCACTTATAGTTATAGTTGGAGCTATCAAGGGCTCCACTTCTAGGTACGTGAGTGGTACAATCCCCGCTAAAGGATGCTTACTATGTCCCTTGGTTCCAACTGGTAGTCTAGGGTTTATGCAATAGAATAAATGGCCAGATAGTGTAGTAGTATGTCTGAATAGTATAGGTACAGTATAATATAATGAAATTGCACTCACATGAAATAGAGCCTCTGCAATGGCTCCTAAAGTGTAGCGTGGAGTGGTACAATCCCCACTCTAGGGTTACTGATAGGCACAATTCTTCTCAGTGTTGTATATATGCAATAGAACAGAGGTAGATATATAGTGCACAATTAGTATGAGTGGGTGCAAGTAAACGAAAAGCTACTTACAGAAGTAAAACAAAGTAGGTTTTGCTCAATCCATAAAACACAGATGGTATATTCCCCAAAAATAAAGTGATGTTTACTAGGCAACTGAATAAAAGGCAGGAGGGCCCAGGAGTCTTAAATGAATAATATTTACTTATTTTAATTAATCTATCTTAAACAGCTATAGAACAATAAAATAAAGTATAAATGTAACACTAGTTAAATTTTTGCACCACTTTATAGAGCAAAACACTTTGATAACTTCCCCCGTGATTCCTATTACTTTCGTGTAGTAAACAGCTGAGTCAAAAGATATATTTTTCGTTTTATATATGTTACCATTAATTCAATATTTTTGGTATTATTATTTACTAAAAATAATATACAAATAAAATGCAAAACTGTTGTGCCGCATATGCATATAATAATTCTTAATAACATCAATAACAATAATGTACACTTTACAAAATTGAGCTGTTTATTTGTTAGTATTTGTAACACTTAATGAAAAAATTACATAGTCGTAGATGATTTTGTCATTTACCTGTCATAAAACAAGTCTAGATTGTGAGCTGAATGAAGATTTCTTACACGATTTTCATGCAAAAAACAGGCAAACAGGCACACATGATTAAATCAATATCATTCCTGTCAACAGATGCTTGTAAGAAAAAATGTTTCCATGGCAACTGACGAAGACTTATTGAAAACCTCTTTTATTGCTTACATATGCTGCTTAATTAAAACATGTACATAGGCAGCAATTAGATTCTATTTAAGGCATGCAAAGTACAGGATTTTAGGGAAATAATAGGTTTTAATTTCACTTAATCATATGTTTTATTTCAGAAATTCTAAAAGCTTTACATGTAAGAGATCTTTTCAATGAACAGTTTTACTTTCACGTGGATGCAGAGGGGGGAGACAGAGGAAGAATGTGACCAGTCCTGATTTTGTTTATGCAGACATGCCCATTTAGAAGAAGATGTTCATTTTTCACAATGAACAGAACATCTCCCTAGTATGGATGGAATCCAGAATGGATGAAAGGATAGGCAGGCTGGGGTGGGAGACTCTATTATTTAATTTAAAAAAACAAACAGAACTTTTCTTTTTTTTTTTTAAATAGTGTCCCAGTGTCCTCTAGTCTCCCAGTGTATGTCCGCATGTCTCTCAGTGTCTCTAGTGTCTCAGTGTCCCCATGTCTTACAGTGTCCCCAAATGTCTGTGTCCCCATGTCTCCCAGTGTCCATATGTCTCTCAGCCAGTGTCCTAGTGCCTCAGTGTCCCCATGTCTCCCAGTGTCCCCATGTCTCCCAGTGTCCCCAAGTGTCTCAGTGTCCCCATGCCTCCCAGCCAGTGTCCCTAGTGTCTCAGTTTCCTCATGTCTCCCAGTGTCCCCTAGTCTCCCAGTGTCTTGGTTCTCATGTCTCTCAGTATCCCTAGTGTCTTAGTGTCCTCAAATGTCTCAGTGTCTCCATGTCTTCTAGTGTCTGTGTCCTCATGTCTCAGTGTCCCTAGTGTCTGTGTCCCCATTTCTACCAGTGTCCCCAAATGTCTATGTCCACATGTCTCTCAGTATCTCCATGTATCCCAGTGTCCCCATGTCTGTATCCACAAGAGCCCCATGTCTCCCAGTGTGCCCAAGTGTCTCAGTGCCCCCATGTCTCCCAGTGTCCCCAAGTGTCTCATTGTCCCCATGTTTCACTGTGTTCCCATGTCTCACTGTGTCCCTATGTCTCTCAGTGTCCCCTAGTATCGGGACACACTGGGACATGGGGACACTGGGAGAAATGGGGACACCGACACTGGGAGACTAGGGGACTGGGCGACACTGTGATTCAAAGGAACACTGATGCCAGCCTGGCCTTCCAATTCTTTGGACAGACATGCCCCCTTTTTGGGCATGTTTGCCTCTTTTGGCAGTACTGGTCATGTGATTCGCGTCACTGGCCCACCCTTTTATCCCGCCCATTGACTTCCTGCTTCACTGGACACTGCTGTTCGGGTGTATAGATTTACTTGAAAGATCCTTTGAGGTTTCCCTCCAACACCATCTCTATCAGGTACATGACGCTTGAGAGGTATGACTGTTTTAGTGTTTTGGGTCGATAAAATTCTGTAATTAGGGCCCATCATAATTGTCAGCAGGTCACCAGTAGTTTTCATATTGACCCCTAATTCCAGCCCGCCCTCCTACACCCCACGCAATTATACCTTATCCCTATAATTGTACAATTTTACCATCACTTTATCCCTTTCTCCCTTTTTAAATACCATTTGCAGTAGTGTTTTTCAGTTGTTTTGTTATATAATTAATTTATTTATTTTGTGCATTAAACGTGCAGGTCATATTTAACAGTTATCTCCCCGGTATTTGTGATCTTTCCCTTTATCTCTGTCTCCCCCCACGCGCTCCCTGTGGCTCAAATACGTGCCCCGTCCATTTGGTATCAGACCACTCTCATGCTATCTATCCCTCCTCTACATTTTCCATTTGAATTAAACCCATGTAAAGCATAATGAATAAAACTTAAAAGAGCTTGTGTTCGGCATGGTCCTTGTTCGGTCCCATGGTGCTAGTGTCTCAGTCCGTGGCTCAGGTAGGTCGGGCCCTTTGTTCTGCCAAGTTTTCAGGCAGCGTTTCAAGAGTTGCTAGGCCACCGTTAGGGAGGTGTAGGTCATCAGGTACTTCAATGTCCAGGTCGTGCAGGAACATGGTTACGTTCATGGTTGGTAGGAGCACTGCTGTTTTCGGGCCGTTGAACACTAAAATCTTGAAAGGGTAGCCCCATTCAAAGTGGAAACCTTACTTGCAGAGCAGATCGGTCACTGGTTTCCATTCCCACCTGCGGATGAGTGTGGCTGGAGCGACATCCTGGTACAGTTGTAGTTCAGTCCCATTGTGGGTGTAGGCCTGTGTCCTGCTGTGCCTCAGTATGGCCTTGTTTATTTTAAAGTAGTGCCATTTCATGATTACATCTCTGGGTGGGCTGTTCTTTGGTCCTCTGGCCCTGAGGGCTCTGTAAGCTCTGTCAACCACAGGTGTTCGGGGATATCAGGCAGGCTTTGTCGAAAGCAAGTGATAAGGGTTGCTTCAATGTCCGTGTCACTCACTGATTCTGGCAGACCTCTGACACGTAGATTATTTCTCTGTGATCTGTTGGATACGTCTTCTAACTCCAGCTCCAGGTCTGTTATTCTGTGCAGGAGCTTGTTAGTGAGGGTTGCGGCGCCATTGTGGGCTGTGACCACATGTGCCATGCACTTCTCTATCACAGTACTGTGCACCCCTATGGCGTGGATTTTGGCCTTCACTTCTTTTGCCATGTGTGCTATTTCAGCTGCCAGGAACCCCTTTACCTCTGCCAGTGATTGCAAGGTTGCGTTGGAAGAGTCCTCCAGCGGGTTACAGGAGGGTCCGGTGATCCGCAAGGCCTGGTGAGTCCTGCCTGATTGGGCTGGTGTCAGCTTGCGCGCCACGTGCTGTAGGCCTCTGCGAAGTAAGCATGTCAGCCACTGATGGAGTGTCTCTGTGGTTCTTCTTGGTTGGTTTGTGGTTAGACATCGGTACAGTTTCATGCTCCGTGGTTTGGCAATACACGGGAGCATGTTTCTGAATCATTTAATTAGGATGTAGCTGATTACAGAGCAGATTAGTAAGCTTCGGGTGCAGAGTGCTGGATCTATGCGGCCATTATGCTCAGCGGTCAAACCACTACAATATGCTTTACGGATGCATCAAGAAGACCCCTTTCTTAACCAAGAGAAGACTTTTGAGTTATAATTCATATGTAGGTTATTTCCATAGTCACCAGGTTGGACTATTGCATTACAATAAGTGGAGGGGGGCATCTCAGTGTCCCCTTAGGCCCCATGGTGGGACTTTACCAATTCATAAATAAAGTGAACTGGTAATGTGGGCTATAAACACAATAAACCTATTCTAACAGCTCCCATCCATGAGTTTCTAGTTCGTCTATAATTAGTAAAGCTGGAACCTAATGTTCCCCTGTTGGGTGCTGGCTGCAAATAAATATTAAAGGAGTGTGGAAATACAATTGACCACCTCACCAACAATTAGGTCGATGCCAACCTCCTAGTGACTAGGTATCTCCAAGTTCCTAGCCACCCCTGATAAAAAGCATGCCTGCCCTCCTCACCCTAATAATAGTGAGGGGAGCCCAATTAATCCAAACTAACCTGTAGAAAACCATTTATACTTACCATTAGATGTCATCTTTCTTCTTAAATGTTTTTTTAGTCAGCCCATAAAAAGAAGTTAAATAACTTTTAAAATAAAACAAACACTATTTCAAAAGAAAAAGGAAAGAAAGTCCTGCAAAGCCCAAAAATAATCAAAGTTGTCCCATTGAGGTCTCCACTCAAACTAGCCCAAGGTCTTTCTCATGCTATGCAATTTCAGTCAGAGCACATAAATTGGTTGGTTTGTAAACCAACCAATCAGAGAACTCTGACAGTCGTCTTACTTATCTCGAGACTTCCCACACAAGTCTCAAAAATTTCCATGTAAGTCTCAGATGAGTGAAACTTGCCTGTCAGAACTCTCTGATTGGTTGGCTGATATAATGCTGTCTGTGTGCGCACTAATTCAAGTCCCTATGCACATTTAAATATGAAAGTGTAAGCTCACCTGCCTGTCAAGGCAAACCTCATAGGTGAATCCTACATTAACAACTGATCTTTCTGCTTTCAGCTAAAAAGCAAAATCTCTAATGAGACAGAAAGGGGTATATCTATAAACCCCTACACACTTATCAACCCTTAATGGAGTTGGCAGCAGCACAGTAACATCTCTGTGTAAAACAGAATCAAATACAAACAAACAAATATTGGGCCATGCGCTCAATTAGAATTTTGTCTGGCATGAAATCCAGTTATAATTCGATAAAATTATTGGCCGAAAACCAACAGATATTTATCGATTTTTTTTTTTTTTGGGGGGGGGGGGTTTAAGCTGATAGAGTGTTATCGAGGCCTGTGTGTCCCATCTGATGAGCCTGGCAGCAAAACACGTGCGTCAGGGGTTCTGTGGGATCCTTTGATAGCTATTACAAAGCTGCAGGAAGGGAGTAGCAGTTATCTTAATCTGATATAAACTAAAAGGATCCACTATTTTTCATAGCTAGCATTTTAACTACAGTATTTGTTTGTAAGGATGTGGTCAATATTGTTAGCTAGACACACTAGATCACAGAGAGGCACCCTCGAAGGCACAGATAGGAACTTCAGGAATTAGATCTGCTTAGCCAGTCGCTTGTACTATAGATAGGTTCCCTCAAAAGCACAGACAGAGATACTCATAACTAGTTACATGCGCAGAGTTATTTAGAAACAAGGCAAATAGCTATTTCCCTTATTCTTCCAGTCCTGTCAGTTTCTATCAGGTGAGCTATCTATTAGTGATATTTAGGCGATATTCCCTCTTACTTTTTTACCGACATTTTATTGCATATACTTTTTCTGTTTTTCATTTCTTTCTCATTTCACTTTCATCGATTTATCACTATTTGTGTGAATTTGCACTGTTTCAAGCCAAAATGCTATTTTTAAACTAGAAATGAGTAAAAGATAAGTTTTATTTTTAAATTATTCCCAAACCCCAGATTAACACTCTATTTTTCATTTTATTTTATTTTTGTGCTGACTTTTGTCATTTTCATGGTTCCCTCCTTTTGGAGTGTTATTACAGATAAAGCTCTTTTCCTTAGTCCTGTGTGTTGATTGGTTCACTGTACCACAAAGCCAAACAGCTTGGAATTTGAATGTCTATGACCATAATAACATCTATATAGACCACAGGAGGAGGAATCATATTCATATCTACTTATATTCATGCTGATATCATAAGAGAATACACTTGTGACAGGAACCAAAGGCTGTACATTGCCATCACTACTACAGTGTCAGTGAACGCAGAAATACAGGGTAAGGAGGCTGCTTAAATTCTCTATTACTGGACTCTGAAGTAGTGTGGCAGCCTGGCCATACGCAGGAGTGTCCCGTCTTGTGGACCACTGCTGCATATCTTAGTAGTTCAGTACCACTAAATATCCCAATTCTAATGGATCTTTATGTATCTGCTCACAAGAGTATCTTTAGATTAAATTGTATAAATGGAATTTACAAATTCATTTACTACTACTAAATATATCTTGCCTCTTACTTTTTTATAACCATAACTGCAATGGATAAGGAAAGCAACACCAGTTGTTTGACAGATGTGAAATAATCTGGTCTCTTATTCTCTTGAAAGTGTGTTGTCCTTTAAAAAAAATGATTTATTGATATATCAACACTGCACTTTTTGGTCCGCTTTAGTATATCTGTGAGCCAAGTTTGTGGTTTTTGCATGGGAAAAATATTATGTATCAGTAAATCTTTAAGAGGTGGTGCTCTACACGCTGTAATTGATGCTTGAGGAGAAATCACATCCTTCAGATATAGAAAATGCATATTAAGGAACAGCGGACACATAAAAATATAGTTTTACATTTTACAAGACTACCTAAAATGACCCATCTCAACAAACAAATATGGGGATTCTCAGCAATTGGGAGTACACACAGAACATGTATTTCTCAGCAATGGTTTTGTCCTCATGTGGGAATTAGTGTAGGACCCACCTATATTGGGGTACTGTGGAGTAGTGGTGGGCTTAACATGATATGGCAATATGGTGGAACTGAATCACCATTTTTGTTTGCTGAGGTAGGTGATTTTAAAGTGGCACTGTCACAGTTTGGGGACTTTGCAGAATTTGCAAAGTCCCCCAATGGTGGCATCGCCACTGGAGGTCCGGTGGCCAGGGGTCAGGTAAAGTCAGGATTTGACTTTTGTGGGCACAGCCATCTTCATCCGGTGGGTCCTCTTTGGAGCAGACGTTACTGCTGTACTTTTGCGCATGCTCGAGAGTACAGCATTGAGGTCTATGAAGGATTCCGTAAGACCAAATGATCATCCATAGAAACAACCAATTCCCTGCAGCAGTCATTGGTGACACCTGTCGGGTTTGACTCTTGGACTCCTCTCTGAGTCTAAGAATGTTAGGTGGAGGAGAAATATATATAACTGGGTTAGAATTTCAGTGAAATTCCAACACAGTCAAAATTTGTTTTTCACTCAATGGGTATTTCCTTAATTTGTATTTTATATAAATCCCTCATATATAAGTACGCCATTATGATCCATCAATAAGTATAAAGTACTTGTCTTATTTGTTTGCCAGCTTACTTATTGGCAAGCTTTAAAAAAAAAAAATAGTGTTATCCGAGCTGTGGCATTGCTGACCAGGGGGATGGTGGGGGGGAAGAGATTGGGGGATAAGTAATTGTGGAGAACTTGGGAAAACTTTAAAAAAATTGAGAAACGAGATTGGTGTGTGTCATCTATTGAATATTCATAATAATAGTAAAGTATCTGTTTCCTTAGACTGATTATGTAATTCAGTGTGGTTAAGCGCTATCCTGGACTTATTAATTTCCCTTACCACTGTAGGAAGCGTTACCATAGATCTCAAAATTTTCATTTCTACTTTCTTAATAAAGGAAAACATTTTTCTATATTTTACTACTAGACTACTATCTTCGCAAACACATTTATTTGCTAAATGGATAATTTTAAGTGCCCTTCTAAAATTTAAAACTGTATTTTTTTGTGTGTGCTCTGTTCCTTAATTTGTATTTTGTATACATTTTGCTCTTTAGGGCTACACTTCTGAAATGCATGTTCTGGGTGTGCCCCAGTTCCCCATTATACATATTGTAGTTTCAAGGTAATCCAATTATCCTTCCATATTTCAAACATTTTATCCATGTGATTACAAAGAAAAAATGGTTTAGCGCCCACTAGAATATGTGGGAGGTAAGGGCAACAGTAAGCCTCACAAGGATTCCCAAAAACTTGGGGAAAATACAAAGTATAACAAAACAAGAGTTAGATAAACCACTCCCAAATATAGGAGATAAAAAAAAAAAGTGCAATGATATCTATCTAATCTATCTATAAAAGTCTGTCTGCTATCTATCTATCTATCCAACATATGCATCTAATCAATTTTATCGTATCTATCTTAGCTATCTTATTTTTCTTATTTATCTTATATATCTTATCTATCTTCTTTGAATTTGGTTTAAACAACCCCCAAAAACTGAAATATTCAAACAATAGTGCAAACTGAATTTACAGTGTCAAGGTTTAGCCAAAATGTATAGAACACTAGCACACAATATTAGATGCTGCTTAGAGCTTTACAGTAATAAATCTCCATCTTGGGGTATATGCAGATCTGGGGTTGCACTATTGCTTGTCTATTTCTGTTTTTTTGGAGGTTGTCTAGCCAAATCCAAAGAACTTCTACTGGTCCAAATATGCAGATTTAGATATAATTGCACTTAAGGTTTGTTTGTATCTTCTTTAGTTTGGCAGGGTTTATCTAACCCTTGTTTTATTATAAAATATCATATGAAAGGGCACAGAATGAAGTTGAAAATGAACTCTTATTATTTAACTATTAATAAAATTAGTAGTTTATGTCTCTCCATACTTTTCCAGAAAATAATTAAATAGGCAGCTATGCATGCAAGGATGGA